ATTCTTCCGGGTCCTCTCGAACCAGCATCTTCCAACCTGGTGCTCTCACTTCTCGGACTAGTACAGGTCCAAACCAAAGCCAAAGCTCCAAAAGTCTAAGGATAAGTTCCTTCTCTATGGAAGAAAGAGAGTCCCTAGGAAGCTACTGTAAAGTGGCCGTAGGCGGTGAGCCAGTGCCAGTGGTTGAAGTCTAAGATTCAAAAGCAAAGCTGCTTTCTCAGGTTCAAAGAAGGCGAAGCTGTTCAAATTTCCTACTGAAATAGGCAAGCAACGACTTTTGGTCGACTTAAGCCAACTATACTTATTGCTTCGTCTTATGCTTTTGCTATCTGTCTTTCCATCCAACTTTGTTGTTCGCTTTGGGACCTGTTCCACCTTCAGTTTGGGATCTTAGGTTTGTGGGCCTTCTCCTTTGAATTGGCACTAGACTGAAACTAGTCAACTGAGCTATATCAGGGACTTAGCCTTCGACAGGACTGGAATCTTCAACATATAAATATGCCTCGAGAGTCGAACTCGAGCACTTCTTACGAAGGCACTTCGTAAGAAGTGGATACCAACTTGGTGTTGAGTTATCTTTTTTGTTACAGTTACGAACGATGGGGAAGGGAAGGCGATGAAATCGTTTATTTGTTTGAAAGACGAAGGAAAGGTTTCACACCCTTAAAAGCAGTAATTCATATGATTTTTTTAAATACAAAATTTAAAGTGAACAAATAGAATTATATAAAATTAGAAATTACCTTGAATATTTGATTATTGAAATTCTGGAGACCTGGATTTATGGACTCCGGCGAACGGCGACTCCGGCGACTCCGGCGACCGGCGACTCGACTCCGGCGTGAGGCGGTGAGCGGCGACCTGCGATTTACGGTTCGCGATTAAGGACGAGCCATCAGTTCGAGTCTTCGAGAGAGGGCTGCGAGCCCGCGATTGCGATTGAGAGACAGAGGGAGGCAGAGAGGGCTGCGGTTGCGCCTGCATTTAAGGTTCCGAGTCTTTGAGCGATTGAGAGACAGAGGGTTTACTGGTTTGGTTTAGGCGAATAGGGCCAATAGGGCAATACGTGATTACTGGTTTTGGCCCTTTTGTATAATTATAATACATACTAGCATTTTGTACGCGCATCGCGCGAAACTTATGTCTAATATTAAAATATTTGTAAGTAACCAAATTTACAAAATTAGTTAAAATTATGTTTTGCAATTTCTTAAAGCGGTGATACTTTTGAATTATCATTGATGGGGTGAGGACCCCGGCCCAAGAGATAGGGGCCCAAAGAAAATAGATAGGAGAACTGGGCCAGAGTCGAGAGGAGCCCGAAGAGCAATTGGGCCGAGTCCGGGAGTCGGCCCAGGCCCAAGCACGGGGCCCAGTTCAGAGCTGCTAAGAGGAGTCCAGTAGGAGCTTAGGCCGAGACAAGGAGTCGACCGAGGCCCAAGCCCAGGAAAGGACTCGGCTCAAGGAGCCGTTGAGAGCATTGAAGAGGTTCGTTTAAAAGGGAGCCGTTAAGACATTGAAAGCAGGACTCGGTCAGGCCGTTACAAGCCTGGGAGAGCCGTTGGTCGACCGAGTAATGGCGTCCAACGGCTCCGTATCTTAATTAGCCTTGAAGTCGGCCATTAAAGGCCTTCAAGTCGGTAGAGGAGGAGCCACTATATAAAGGCTCCTCCATTCTTGTAAAAGGACAGACGATTGAACACCCAGAGGGGGAGAATACCAAAAAGGTTCCGAGTACTCGCATTATCTCCGAGATAGGCATACATTTTACTGAAAGGTGCACCCACCAGCCAAAGGTTGAGTTGGACCTCCCGAAGAGGAGGAGGCTCAGTGGCGTCAGAAGCCGGTTATCAACATGATAGTCGGCGGGCCGGAAGGTGGTGACTCAACGAACACCAGAAAAGCCTGGGCCCGCCAGTTATACGTCGGAACGGTGTACTGGCGCGAGGAGAACCCTAAAAAGGTGTGTCGAGAGCCCATTGTGTTTACCGACCGAGATTTACCAGCCGGTGAAACACCGCATCGAGATGCGTTGGTTATAGCTATGGACATCAATGGCGTTGTCGTTCGACGAATCCTGGTAGACACCGGAAGCAGCGTCAATGTGCTGTACCTAGAAACCTTCATCAAAATGGGAATGACTCGGGAACAGCTGAGTCCTGTCAAAACTCCCCTCGCCGGTTTCACAGGGGACTCGGTGGAGGCGGAAGGATCGATCACACTTCCAGTTGAGATCGGCAGTTACCCAGACGTACAGAGACTCAGCATGAAGTTCATTGTGGTGAATCTGGCCTGTTCGCATAACGCTATACTCGGCCGACCGGGTCTCGAGGATCTAGGAGCGTTGATTTCAATTGAGCATCTTTGTTTAAAATTCCTCACGCCAAACGGAATAGGCACGGTGCGCTGTGACCGTAAGGTCGCCCGCGACTGCTACCTACAGGCATGTAAGGGGATGGGCAAACGCGAGATACAGGTCCATGAGATCACCGAGAGGCCCCCAAAAAGGACGATAATACCACGTCCGGAGCCTGCCGTCGAGTTGGAAGAAGTCGAGATCGACTCCACGCAGCCGGACCGACGAGTCCGAATTGGAGTCGGCCTCCCCGAGGAAGTAAAGGAAGAAATTATAAAGGTGCTCCGGGAACACCGGATGGTCTTCGCCTGGTGCCCGGAGGACATGCCAGGCGTCGACCGATCGATAATATCGCACAGACTCGCTGTGGATCCCGGGCATCGACCGGTTGTGCAGAAGAAGCGATACCTGGCCAACGACCAAAGAGAATTTGTGAAGAAGGAAGTGAGCACGCTACTCGCAGCCGGACACGTCCGCGAAGTTAAGTACCCGGAGTGGTTGGCGAATGTGGTCCTTGTACCCAAGCCCCCGGCGTGGCGGATGTGCGTGGATTACACCGACCTTAATAAGGCCTGCCCAAAAGATCCGTTCCCCTTACCTCGGATCGATCAACTGGTCGACGAGACGGCGGGGTCGGCGCTGTTGAGCTTTATGGACGCCTTTAGGGGGTACCATAAGATATTCATGCACTCGGCGGACGAAGAAAAGACCGCGTTTCTGACACCGGACGGAGTTTATTGTTACCGAGTCATGCCATTTGGCCTCAAGAACGCCGGAGCCACGTATACCCGAATGGTGGCCCGATTGTTTCAGCACCTGTTGGGAAAATCGATGGCCGCGTACGTCGACGACATGCTCGTCAAGAGCCGAGAGGAGAGCAAACACGCAGAAGACTTGGCCGACTGCTTCAAAGTAATGTTAAGGTACAACCTCCGGCTGAACCCTAAGAAATGCGCGTTCGCCGTGCAAGGTGGAAAGTTCCTGGGTTACATGGTCACCAAGCGAGGTATCGAGCCTAACCCTGAGAAAGTACAGGCCATCGTCGACATGCAGCCTCCCAGCACTATAAAAGACCTGCAACGGCTGACCGGCCGATTGGCCGCCCTTAGCCGCTTCCTAAGCAAGGCGGCAGATAAGACCGTGCCCTTCTTCGAAGCCATGAAGAAGAAGGAAGGATTCGCTTGGACCCCGGAGTGCCAGCAGTCGTTTGAAGAATTGAAACAATACCTCTCGACACCCCCGGTATTGTCTACCCCCCAGGCGGGCGAGCCCTTGTTTCTGTACTTAGCCGCCTCTTGCAAGGCGGTGAGTTCGGTGTTGGTCCGAGAGGAAGAGCGAGTCCAGCACCCGGTTTACTACGTAAGCCGGTCTCTGAAGGCTGCCGAGTCAAGGTATACCGCCTTGGAAAAAATTGTATACGCGTTGGTGATTACCGTGCGCAAGTTGGCGCCCTACTTCCAAGCGCACACCGTTCGAGTACTGACAGACCAGCCTCTCGGAAGAGTTTTGCGAAACCCATCGTCATCCGGCCGCCTGGTAAAATGGGCCGTAGAACTAACCCAATACGGGATTGAATACCAGCCCCGGCCTTCTATAAAGGGTCAGGCCTTGGCCGATTTTTTGGTCGAATGCACCGCGAGTGAGGAAGAAAAGGAACGCGCCGTGGAGAGCTGCCTAGGCGAATGGTGGGAAATGCATGCGGACGGAGCATCGAAGTCGACAGCACTGCGGAGGAGGTGTTGTGCTCATCACCCCCGAAGGATTCCGACTGTATTATGCCCTGAGCTATCTGTTCCAAGCCTCCAACAACGAGGCCGAGTACGAAGCTGTGTTAAACGGCCTCCGAATCGCCAGGGCCTTAGGGGTCGAGAGGTTACGAGTCAAGACTGACTCTAAGTTAGTAGTCGGGCAAATCTCAGGCACATGCGAGGCAAAGAATGCCCGGATGACTCTATATAGATTCAAGTGCATAAAGTGAATAAATCCATCTCTTCCATTTGTAATCCGGTGTGAGATATTCATAATTTCATATCAAGAATTGTCACAGACTAGCTACCAGTTATAAAGAATTAAAGATGCAAATTATTTACTTTTCATCCTTGTGATTTTCATAAAATATGATGTCTCAGTTTACCAAATGAAAGTTTCCCTGCCTTATACAATTTTTGTAAATCATAAAATGGAGAGACATCTCCCCGTGTTTGACCTTAACAAATATGTGAAAAGTTTCCCTGCTCATCTGTTAGACTGTAGACTACCATTTGAATAAACCATTCCGCAGTCTTCTTCATTACTTTCACTTTAATTTGATTTTATTATTACCCTGTATACATGTGTTTTCTTTTTTCTTTTTCTCAAACTTCATATTAATTATATTTTTCATAAACACTTGTAATTCTTTATAAGATAGTATCTATTCTATAAATCTATACTTGTAACGACTTTTATTATTTACATGATAATTAACTCATATTAATTAGTTTATTATAAATTTATATTCTTAAACTATAACTAGTTAAGTCTTTATTAAAGATCAGTGAAGACTGAACATTCAACAAATCAAACAACAACAATAAATCAAACAACAAATAATCAAACTAGACTTAAGGTGTGTGTGTTTTGTTCTACAGTCAACCACATGAGCAGTTAGATAAGAATGCAATTTGAAAAGGCATAAAAAAACATCAATATCTTCTGCTTTCACCAGTGAAGCACATCAAAATCATAACAATAGCAACCACATTTTTTTATAAGCAACAGGAAAGCAAAGCAAAAACACACATAATTTGGGGGAAAAAAAAGGAAAGGAAAAACAGCGTTATCACTAATTTCAGACGCTGCCTGACCTGCTGTTACGGTGGCTGTTGAACGCTGGTGAGTGGGCTGCCGGCTGTGACAAGGCTGGTCGTGGTTGGCAGTCGTGGTCAGCGGTCGGCGGAAGCTTCAATCCGCAGAATTGAATTAGGCTGAATGGGGAAGCGTCTCTGTCTCATTTGGAGTCTCAGCTTCTTTTATTAATTTTAGTAAATAAGGGCTGAAATAAAATAAATTCCCTCGTTAATTAAAAAATAAAATAAAATAAAATAAACAAAAACAAAATTAAAAAATAAATTCCCTAATGAGACGCTGTTTAAAGAGTGGGGAGAAATAAAATTTAAAAAATAAATCGTGACGGAATAAATTTTGTCGTTAATTCCGTCGAAATATTTACTAAACTAGTATTGTACCCGTGCGATGCACGGATAAGACTTATACAGTAGTAATAAGATTATTTTTCTCATATGATTGAAAATTATTATTCTCTGAAAGGGAAAAGGACATAAAAATAAATTTAGACAAATGAGGACACACAAATAACCAACATATGCACACAACCAATTACAAAATAAACAAACAAATTAACAATGGTTAGAATATAACTCTCTAAAAAAATTAATTAATATTTATAACAATTACAATTATACATAAACATGTCATGTACATATATATATATATATATATATATATATATATATATATTATATATATATATATATATATATATATATATATATATATATATATATTACACACACACACACACACAAACAAACAATATATATCATAGTGTATTAGCCTAGCTAAGGGTTATCTCAAAAATTCTCAAAAATAAAAGAAAAAAAGAAAAGGGCCAACTGCCAGCCCAACTCTATTTAAGTCAAATCATTATTGTATGGACCATATTTTGTATACAATAAAATAATGTACATTTAGTACACAAATAATGTACTTTTAGTATATTAAAAATGTACTTTGTATTCATGAAAAGTACATTATTTAAAAACTAAAAGTACATTATTTTATATAATGTACATTCAGTACACAAATAATGTACTTTTAGTACATTAAAAATATATTTTCTTTTATGGTCCATACAACACTACGTGGACCATGGTCCACACAATAATTTGCCTATTTAAGTTATTTACATATAACTAAGCCAAATATACTGAGCCCATTCCATATACCCGATCTAGACCACTTCCTACCCCTCCCCTTATCAGTTCTGACTCTCCCGAACGGGAAACTACAGACCACTACCTAGGGGTGAGCATCGGTCGGTTACGGTTAATAACCGACCGATAACCGAAAAAATAACGGTGTTTTTTTAACCTATGTAACTGACCGAACATACACATATAACCGACTGAAACCGATTATGTCGGTTTTGGTCGGTTATTTCGGTAACCGAAAAACCGAGAGTGAACTTCATAATTTCATATTTTCATGCTTCATAGTCTTCACAATAAATGGTTTATACTAATAAATGGTTATCTAACTTACCATGAACTTCATAGTCTTCACAAAACATACTAAATAAACAAACAATATGAACTTCATGGTCTTCAAAATTCACAAGTCATAGCCATACGCCCATACAACCATACTGCTTACTGCCAATCTACTTATCTGCCATAGTTCATTATTAAAAAAAAAAATAAAAATAAGCATGCTTCCACATACTGCCAATCTAAAATTAAAAAAAGAATTTAATACTAAAATTAAAAGGTGAAATAATGAAACAGTGAATGAACTAACATTAGTATGTACTTAATAAACTAACATTTAATAAACTAACATTAGTGTCCTTTCAAAAAAAAAAAAAAACTAACATTAGTGTGTGCTGAAATAAACTAACAGTGAATAAACTAACATTGTGAATTAGTGTGTACTTAATTCAATAAACTAAATTACTTAAACATATTCTAGAATGAACTAACATATTATATGAATTAACCAGAGTTAATAACACAGAGTTATGAACTAACATATTCGTATGAAGTTATGAACTAACACACTAAGTCAGTAACACTAACACATAATCACAGATACAACACAGTTTATTTCAATTGATTTGTAGTTTTTTTTCGTTCTTTCTATTCGAGATTGGGTTAGTGTTCTGCTACGCCTCTCGGTAAAGACTTCCTAGTTAGCGCTCCGTCGGTCCTTCAAATCAATTATATTGGGAGGTCTAACGAGTGAAAATGGTTCACAGTCCGACTGCTAATTCAAGTTACCTTTCAAAGAGACGAGATTCCGCATCAACTTATTTCGGGATGAAGACATGTCGGCCTTACGACTGCGAATGAAAGTCTTCCTAGCACAGAAAGGAAATGATGATTTACCCAAGTCCTTTGCTAAAACTTCTTGCTTATGCTTTCATTTTGTCATCGAGAGTAGGTTGCTGTGCAGTATACCTATTGGCTGGATGGATTGAATATATATATTCATCAATAAAGTTGCTTTGACGAGAAAGAGCCCTGAGTCCAACTCTCGCTCAGTAAGAATACAAGCCCGAAACAGCCTCCAACCCCTAATTATACGCCGACCCGCTTGACTTTTTGACTTAAGGAAATACGCAGCTAGACTTTGCCAGCTTTCCGGCTTAGACTGATTTAGTGAAGTATGCCAATTAAGATTGCCTTGCTTGGACTCTGCCTCTTTGGACTCACTAGCCTAAGGCTTAGCCAAGACTAATTTTTCCGTTGATAGAAATTTCCACCTTGCTGCTGATTTTGGGATTGAGCTCTACCAAGTAAGGTTACCTCTGAAGTTTGAGAACCAGCTGGAACTTGGATTGCTGAGGCTGTCTAATAAACTATTATAGACAGGATAGGATATTAATACTATCAAAGAAGATGAACTTGCGGGTAATATACTCTAAGACTGACTGACTGGCTTCGAATGAGGCTTTGAAGAAAGAGATAGAGGTTCTCAAGAGCGGATCTTCAAGAGCAAAGACCGGAGAACTCTAAGAGCTGATTTGTCTCAATTAGGCTTTTGACGGCGTAGAGAAAGATATTATTTTTATTGAGGGGATTCCTCTCTACTAGAATAAGGGAGAAGATCTACAACCTAGCAAACTAGCCTCCTTCTTACTAGCATTCTTCCGGGTCCTCTCGAACCAGCATCTTCCAACCTGGTGCTCTCACTTCTCGGACTAGTACAGGTCCAAACCAAAGCCAAAGCTCCAAAAGTCTAAGGATAAGTTCCTTCTCTATGGAAGAAAGAGAGTCCCTAGGAAGCTACTGTAAAGTGGCCGTAGGCGGTGAGCCAGTGCCAGTGGTTGAAGTCTAAGATTCAAAAGCAAAGCTGCTTTCTCAGGTTCAAAGAAGGCGAAGCTGTTCAAATTTCCTACTGAAATAGGCAAGCAACGACTTTTGGTCGACTTAAGCCAACTATACTTATTGCTTCGTCTTATGCTTTTGCTATCTGTCTTTCCATCCAACTTTGTTGTTCGCTTTGGGACCTGTTCCACCTTCAGTTTGGGATCTTAGGTTTGTGGGCCTTCTCCTTTGAATTGGCACTAGACTGAAACTAGTCAACTGAGCTATATCAGGGACTTAGCCTTCGACAGGACTGGAATCTTCGACATATAAATATGCCTCGAGAGTCGAACTCGAGCACTTCTTACGAAGGCACTTCGTAAGAAGTGGATACCAACTTGGTGTTGAGTTATCTTTTTTGTTACAGTTACGAACGATGGGGAAGGGAAGGCGATGAAATCGTTTATTTGTTTGAAAGACGAAGGAAAGGTTTCACACCCTTAAAAGCAGTAATTCATATGATTTTTTTAAATACAAAATTTAAAGTGAACAAATAGAATTATATAAAATTAGAAATTACCTTGAATATTTGATTATTGAAATTCTGGAGACCTGGATTTATGGACTCCGGCGAACGGCGACTCCGGCGACTCCGGCGACCGGCGACTCGACTCCGGCGTGAGGCGGTGAGCGGCGACCTGCGATTTACGGTTCGCGATTAAGGACGAGCCATCAGTTCGAGTCTTCGAGAGAGGGCTGCGAGCCCGCGATTGCGATTGAGAGACAGAGGGAGGCAGAGAGGGCTGCGGTTGCGCCTGCATTTAAGGTTCCGAGTCTTTGAGCGATTGAGAGACAGAGGGTTTACTGGTTTGGTTTAGGCGAATAGGGCCAATAGGGCAATACGTGATTTACTGGGTTTGGCCCTTTTGTATAATTATAATACATACTAGCATTTTGTACGCGCATCGCGCGAAACTTATGTCTAATATTAAAATATTTGTAAGTAACCAAATTTACAAAATTAGTTAAAATTATGTTTTGCAATTTCTTAAAGCGATGATACTTTTGAATTATCATTGATGGGGTGAGGACCCCGGCCCAAGAGATAGGGGCCCAAAGAAAATAGATAGGAGAACTGGGCCAGAGTCGAGAGGAGCCCGAAGAGCAATTGGGCCGAGTCCGGGAGTCTGCCCAGGCCCAAGCACGGGGCCCAGTTCAGAGCTGCTAAGAGGAGTCCAGTAGGAGCTTAGGCCGAGACAAGGAGTCGACCGAGGCCCAAGCCCAGGAAAGGACTCGGCTCAAGGAGGCCGTTGAGAGCATTGAAGAGGTTCGTTTAAAAGGGAGCCGTTAAGACATTGAAAGCAGGACTCGGTCAGGCCGTTACAAGCCTGGGAGAGCCGTTGGTCGACCGAGTAATGGCGTCCAACGGCTCCGTATCTTAATTAGCCTTGAAGTCGGCCATTAAAGGCCTTCAAGTCGGTAGAGGAGGAGCCACTATATAAAGGCTCCTCCATTCTTGTAAAAGGACAGACGATTGAACACCCAGAGGGGAGAATACCAAAAAGGTTCCGAGTACTCGCATTATCTCCGAGATAGGCATACATTTTACTGAAAGGTGCACCCACCAGCCAAAGGTTGAGTTGGACCTCCCGAAGAGGAGGAGGCTCAGTGGCGTCAGAAGCCGGTTATCAACATGATAGTCGGCGGGCCGGAAGGTGGTGACTCAACGAACACCAGAAAAGCCTGGGCCCGCCAGTTATACGTCGGAACGGTGTACTGGCGCGAGGAGAACCCTAAAAAGGTGTGTCGAGAGCCCATTGTGTTTACCGACCGAGATTTACCAGCCGGTGAAACACCGCATCGAGATGCGTTGGTTATAGCTATGGACATCAATGGCGTTGTCGTTCGACGAATCCTGGTAGACACCGAAGCAGCGTCAATGTGCTGTACCTAGAAACCTTCATCAAAATGGGAATGACTCGGGAACAGCTGAGTCCTGTCAAAACTCCCCTCGCCGGTTTCACAGGGGACTCGGTGGAGGCGGAAGGATCGATCACACTTCCAGTTGAGATCGGCAGTTACCCAGACGTACAGAGACTCAGCAT